AAGGATTTGGAGTATTGTATTTCTGCACAAGCCCTGAATGATGAGAGGAAGAACACTCTTCGAGCAAGAGCAACAAATATCATCACAAATCATTTTAATGGTGACAGACCAGAAAAAAATATAAATCTAACAAATAAATAAAAGAACACCCTGATGTAAAGTAAGTCGATCTGATAAGGGAAACTCGACCGTTTTAATGAACAAACGTGAATATGAATCTAAGGTTCTTGAAATGTTGCATGACTAATACCTACCAACTGTTAAATAGAGATCCAGATTTCAGACAATGGCCAATGGACTCGCTTCACGGCTGAGAGAAGAGAACATGATTTCGAAGAAAGAGGAGATGTGGCTAAAAATATCTAATTGTGTTTCACCTAAGTTGTATCGTTTGAGAAAGACACACCAACCAGGCGTGAATCCCAGACCAGTTGTAAGTTGTACCAATTCCCCTGGATGTAATATGGCCAGATATTTACATAATATGCTCAATCCTTTAACTTCAATTTTCCATTTTGATGTGAAAGACTCCTTTCATTTTATTGAGCTCAGTGGCGTAGCCAGGATTTTGTCTTGGGGGGGGCAAATTTGCAGGAAGCGTCTTTTGCGGCCCTACCGCGACCGCTGCCGGAGGCTTAGCCCCGCAGGCGCGAAATTTTTGGGTGCCACGCCCCTTTTTCAGGTTTCTTTACGCTATTTTTGGGACTGTTTATCTTAATTTTGAAGAAATATTCATAAAATGTAAGGGTCTTGGGGGGGGCAAATGCCCCCTTGCCCCCCCCCTGGCTACGCCAGTGATTGAGCTAGTCAAACAAAAGCGCATACCTGATAACTGCGTTCTTGTACCTTTGGATGTGGTCAGTCTTTTCACAAACATCCCCAAGCAATTGGTCATGGATATTTTTGAAAAAGATTTCAAGTTCCTTTCTTCCTATACCCAATACTCCTTGACATAGTACACTTATGTTTTGAGACTTCCAACAAAAAATATATTTGCAGAAAGATGGCTCAGCAATGGGCAACCCAGGTAGTCCAGTTCTTGCCAACATTGTGATGAACTACCTCATTTCTGAATCCTTAAGAAAGTTACCCTTCAGCATTCCATTTTTATATGCCTATGTTAATGACACTATTCTGGCTGCCCCACAAGACCAATTGGATCTGGTCCTAAACCTTTTCAATAGCTTTCATCAATCCTTACAATTTACAGTGGAAATTGAGGTTGAAAATAAAATTTGCTTTTTGGATACAGTAGTGTGTCGATAACCGAATGACACACTAGTAACTAATTGATATTCTAAATCAAGTAGTTCTTGTAGATTACTCAATCATTACTCAGCTCTTCCCATATCTAGAAAAATCGGCATAATAACTGGGCTATTACACTGAGCCATAAATCGAAGTAGCCCTGGATTCCATTCGGATAATTACAGCAAAGTGAAACTATTATCAAGAAAAAACAACTACCCCATAAACATAAATAAGTTCAAGAATAAAAAAGAAGTTAATCATAATGGAACCAGCGACAAAGATCAAAGATATTGTCAACCCTACATGGAACCACGGGCTACAACCAAATTCAATACACTGAACCACGGGTTAAAACAAATAACTGCAACCAAGTAGGAAAACATAATCAGACTAATTAACCTAATTATAGTCGGCAAATATTGGATATAAAAGCCACGGGCCACACTATGGCAAATCAGTCGTGTCCCAGCGCCTTTCTGTATCAGTAGGTGTTTAGACACGTCTCAAAGTCGAAAGCTATCTGGCCAAATAGGGATTGCGTATCGTATCTCTGTCCACTACGAAAAGCATACCGCGGGCCAAGAATCCACGACATTGGATACACTAGCCCAGATACCACGACATGCGTGAAACAAGGCCCAGAACATATACAAAAGCAGTTGTTTGAACCAAGACCACGACATCTACAAGACCAACCTAGGCCAATCGCTAGCATAAACCCACAACGTAGATCCACTACCTGCAGTCAAAGTCTGAGCCAATAGGCCTAGATAACGTAGCAGAGGCCGTTGTCAAAATACACAAGCAGACCACTGACATGAAAGCAAAGCCAGAACATCTACAAGAGTGATCCAGGCAAACCACTAGCCTTGGAACCACCAAAACCTAGAGAATCGCCAACGCAAGTAGAAGCAAACCTCAGACACTGTTCTAGTGTTTGAAGCCAAGGAAGAATGGACACGCACAAAGAACCAATCACAACAAAGAAGAAGAATATTGTAGTTTTAAGTTGTATTTTAAAGTTTTTGTAGTTTTTTTTTAAAGTTTTTGAAACCAGATACGTCTCCTCGGGCATTGTGGGCAATGCCTTCATCGGCAGGGGCATGTGTCAACCCTACATGGGACCACAGGCTACAACCAAATTCAATACACTGAACCACGGGTTAAAACAAATAACTGCAACTAAGCAAGAAAACACAACCAGACTAATTAACCTAATTATAGTCAGCAAATATTGGATATAAAAGCCACGGGCCACAATATGGCAAATCAGTTCGTGTCTCAGCGCTTTTCTGTATCAGTAGGTGTTTAGACACGTCTCAAAGTCGGAAGCTATCTGGCCGAATAGGGATTGTGTATCGTATATCTGTCCGCGCTGATTCCATCTGACGACCCTGACTCCGTGAGTCTGGCATCTCAGCGCTTTTCTGTATCAGTAGGCGTTTAGATACGCCTCAAAGTCGGGAGCTATCTGGCCGAATAGGGACTGCGTATCGTATCTCTGTCCGAACAGATTTCATCTGACGACCCAGACTCTGCTCTGCAGCTTCTATTGTGGTGTTGGTTTGGTTTTCTTAGTAGCTGCTGACCACAAAGATCAAGCTTGGGCTTATACCCGACGGATTCGCTCAGGTTTCCTTAGATCCTTTTCAGCCCGAAGGGACGTGCTGCCTCGGAATGATAACAATTTGGTAATACTCGTGTGTTTTACTCTAAATGTGATCTAGAACATTAAATATATTATATTTATCTAGCGTTATTCTGGTGTTCCCTTTCCCTTCCCGTTCTGATTTTCAGGGTGAATAGTCGAGCTACGTAGCGGAGCAAGAGAGGCTTCGTGACAATATTTCAATATCCCCTACATTGAAGGTTTGTCACATAAAATAAAAAAAATGCTTTAAGGATACAAACACCATGCTGGCATTCTACACTCCTTATACCACCAAATATCTCTATACGTCCTTTAAAGATCCAACACCACAGGAAAAAAGATCCAATATTGTTTACTCAATCCCTTGTGAATGTGGTTAACATTATGTAGGCCAGACCAAACAGTACTTAAATAAGCGTATGCAACAACATCGAGGAGATTGTAGAAATGAAAAAAGATATATACCAGAAAGATCAGCATCAGCCCACACCATTTTGACACAGGCCATGTATTCTCCTGTTTGAGAACGCATAAACTCTAGACACAGAACCAAATAACGCAAAAAGAATAATTAGTGGAATGATACACATAAATCTAAATGATTGTGTGAACCTCAGAACTGACACACAGGGTCTTAGTGTAGTCTATACAGGGTGTTCGGCATATGAGTAGATATACGTAAATCTGACATAGGTGGGGACGTCTGCTATGCGGTCCACCCAGATATTTTGACTTGAGCCCTAAAAATTTTTTTGTTTTTAGAATTTTTTAATTTTTTTTTCCAAAATTTCCAATTTGCAGATTTTAAACTGAAATAACTTTTTGAAAAATCATGAAACTGACAACATTTTCATTTTATTTTAATTCTAGAATCATACAAATTCAATAATTGGAGCCCATGTCCTATAACGGTAAATCCAGAAACTTATGGAAGCTTGTTGAAGTTCACTAAACAGTATACCATATACCAAAAACTCGCTCAATAAAGCTCTACTTTATGCTCTTACAACATAAATAGCTAATATCGTGGTTGATTTGATATAAAAAATGGCATTGAATCATCATCTAAAAAAATCTAGTTTAATACCAGAATTATCTGCACAACAATAAACCTACGGGATTTCCTACTGAGTGATGTAATGGGCTACAATTTTGCAATTATGGTACAAGATAAACAAACTAATTTATTTTGAAACCGTTAAAGAATATTTAACGTGTATGAGGTTCTGAATAAATTATTGTAAAATGAATGTACTCACCTATAAATCGAATTAGATCGGGTTTTCTAAACCCACCGCAATTCACATCCAAAATTGCTCCATAATTCCTTTCCAAGAATTCCCTTGATATCAAGTTTAAATAACCGCGGACTGAATCTCTCGAGGTTTAGTTCACGAGCAAGAGCGGAAGATTATGAATGTTATTAAAGTCCAGAAACTTGAGATTAGAAAAGTTCAAAGACATTGAAATACTATATTTCGTTCGTTTTGATGACAAAACTAACCAAACGATAACAAGGTTTAATCCTAGCTGTGCTACACAACTTACGTACAAACAACTTTAATACCGCGTTAATCACTTTGGTGAACAAAATATGAGTGAAAATATGTATCTAGAGAAAAATATAATCAAAACCAAAATGTATAGCGTGTAAGATACCATTTAACAGGTCGGAGTTTTTGGTAGTACAATTTGTAGGTTAATACCCAACGTAAAGAGACGAAATCAGTAATGAAAAATGGGATTCTAAATACAAAGTTGAATCCAACCGTTGAAACAGTTTATTTCGCCCCAAAGTCCTCTCGATGTCTGAAAGTGTTATATTTCTTTAAAACGATACATTCTAGTCTAGGTTGAGCTTAACAATATTCTTATAAATTTGAGGTTAACCTCTGGGTTGATTAGTAGGTAGCTTGGTACCTATTCATCACTGGAAAATTTATGCTCAAATAAATAGTAAACATCCACCTAAACAAATTATGTTGATGGAAATCTACCTCTTAACGATACCGAAAATTTGCTCCTATTAGATGCCCTAATAAAAATATATAATATAATTTCGGTTTAATAAAACCATTATCTAATTGAGCCAGATCCTTATATAAGGAGTAAATTTCTCTTCAGCGGTACACAGTTCCATTGTGATATTTCAACGAGTCAATACCACACAAAAGGATAGTTGAAATGAAGGCTTTATTTGCTGCAGTAGTTTTGGTTGCAATTGTCCAGGTAAATATTCAATTATGTGTTTTCTTAGGAATTTTTTTCTGTTCTTAGTTTTAGTGCACATCATTCTTGTAGGTATGATAATAATTATTGTTATTGTTCATTCATCGAATTCTATTCTTTCAATAAAATTTTACTTGCGTGAATCCTTTCCACTATTCCTATACCCAATTATTAATTTTTCTCATGCGAATTACTTCTGCTCATAATAAATGGCAATCTCATGTTCTAAATACATTTTCAACATCTTTTTACGCTTTTAGAGCAAAACTAATATTAGGATTATTTTCCAGGCACAATCGCTAACAGATAAACAAAAAGAGCTCCTAGCTCAACACTACAAAGAATGCATTGAAAAATCCAAAGTCGATCAGGCAATTCTCCAAAAAGCACGTGCCGGTGACTTCGTTGATGATGCCAAATTGAAAGACCACATCCTTTGCGTTACACAAAAAATGGGTTTCCAAAACGAAGCCGGGGCCCTGCAAAAAGAAGTCATCGAACGAAAACTTAAAGAAGCCGTTAAAGGAGATGAAGCCAAAGCTAAGCAATTGATCAAGGCTTGCGCTGTAGCTAACTCTGATCCAAAATTGCAAGCGTTTAATGCTTTCAAATGCATTTACCAGAAGGCTAACATTAACTTGTTGTGAAGTTCTTTTGTTCTGGCACCATGTGTTCTGATCTAATGTCGAAGTAAATTGTTTTGACTAAATATCTTGAATGTTTTATTTAACCTGCCTCAAGGTTTCACATTATAAATGTATAATTTGTGGTCCATTCAACTTAGAACCACCGTATTTCAGACTCATTCCAGAACAAAAATGATTCAAATAAATTTGGTTAAGTAGTGACGTGTAGTAGTGACGTGTGTGAATAATTTAATTAAATTATATTTTGAACTTGACCATATCTCAACGGTTATTGCGTGATGGCTAGCTTTGTGATTTTAAATGAAACTTTTATTTTTATAAATCTTATGTATGAAAAATTGAGTTAATTTCACCCAAAATGTTCTAAATCTTTATCCACCTTCACCTATTGTGCCGTAGAACAAAACAAGAAATCATGGTTAGGAAAAGGTGAAACAAAATGAATGGATAGATGTTTTTTTTTTTTTTTCTTTTGGTCTATGTTAAATGATCTCCAGAGTAAGTACAGCCAATATCTACAATAATTTAAACAAAGTATATTGTGTACATTTTTGTTAAGTAGTTAAAAATTTCTTATTATTGATATTCTGGATTATATCAAATCTTAACGATCTAAAAATGAGGAGCTTAGTTTATTTCAGAGAAAATTCGACAGTTTCGTTATGAGATAATCATGACTTTTCTTAAAGGTTTCTGTTACAAAACTTTCAGGCATTAGTTATGCAATCTCTTATATTTTTCGGCGTAGTAGACACATATTGACATACTTTATCTCGAGGTTAAATCAGGATGGAGAAGAAGGCGATTTGGCGATTCTTCGCCGCGATAGAGGTATTACCCGCACTTTCCTATACTTTTAGATAGCAATATTATAAATTGCAATCTGAGAAGAAAAGCAGAGTCCAGAGAAAGCTTGCTCAGGTATTCTGCACATTCCTTGCTTGTCGGGGATGACATATTTTAGAGACGCAATCAGCCCTAGTGGAAAGGATTTAACTGATCTCGTATGAAGTTCGGTTACTGAGGCAGGTTTAGGACTGCTTAAGTCTTTACTGGTACCCATCAGTGTCTGTAGCACGTTTTCCGACTTGTGGCTCATATAGATTATCATTCTAATTCCCTTCGAACATTGGCGTTTCTTACATACCATGGATCGTAAGCTGAAGGGCGAAGCTGGATGATCTCCACTGCATCTGGCATTTTCTGTTATAACTCGGCAGCATATTCGTAATTGCGGGCTAGTAATTGCTTTGAACCTCGTGATCTCGTAATTTGACTCTTCCGCTGTAGAAACTGATAAAATCAAGCCAGCGCTGCTTTTGTCTTGTTTCGTGTTCTTTCAGTGTGACTCTTCCAGGAGAGCTAATTGTCCAGACCCAAGTTAGTACTTCATAAGAAATCTTCGCGTTCAATATCTATATTGGTATGAATGGTAGGCATGAATAGGATAGCCTAACAATAATCTTGAACTTACAGGTAATGCATCAGTGGTAGATAGGGTTGATTATTTCCTTGAGCCTTTGACTGATCCATTCAGTGTTTCTGCGTTGAAATAGTTTATAACCATCGTCTGTGTAAAGAGAAATTTTTGTGCATAAGGTCTTCGATATTTCATAGATGTACTTAGGAGACTATTGCCACTATGCCCAACTTAACTCAATAGATTCGTGTAGCTCGGCCACCTAGCAAGCTCTGGATAGTCTTTCATACCATTTTTGGGTATCTGTCACGAATCACCTTGTTTTTGAATCTAATGTGACGAGTGTGATTCTTTCCCAGTTGCAACCACTTCTAATGTGCTCTATTCTCCTGGATGCTTACTACTCAGTACAGTAACTGTCTTTAAGGCTAAGTAGTTTGACAGGAATAAATTCTAGCTCTTCAAGTCCTCCTTGCAGTCTCTCGCTGGCAGCCTACTCAGATGAGGCAAAATGCTGATGAAACGGGGTAGTTCTGAGGATACATCTCAACCTTGTTGGATTTCGTAAGCATGATCACTTCCGCGTGGTTCTATCATTGTAAGAAGTTATCCAGTCTCAAAATAGAGTCAGTGATGTTAGTCAAGGCCATTACAGACTTTCCATGCATGATTCGTGGTTCACTGTTAAGTATACGTATTCTATCTGTGACATACCAATCTCGTCGTCGTGATTCTAATCTTCATCTGGATGTTTATTCTGGCGATCTTCTTCCTCTAAAGTATCTGCGAAAGCCGGAGAGTTTACCATCCAAAGGAGGAATAATGGTTTTCGCCCCTCTCATATGCATCTGCATTTGCCACCCCGAGTGCTTGGAGCTACTGACTCCCCCAAGGGCCTTTCTTAATGTTGCGCAGTGCTAGTTTAGCAGTATCCGATTTATTTAAGAAACCTCTGCTTTCGATGGTTATATCTTTAACTTCCGTTGGAAGTTCTTCGTTTGGCCTCGGCATTAACATGGCTATTTGAGCATTCCTGATGGGCTTCAAGAATGCAAGACTGCAAACTTTCAACAGCCACCTCCAACCACACCACTCAGATCTGTGGATCACTCTGATGTTACTTTTCTGGTCTTGGAGCCATCCGCTCATAGCTGTCTCACTTGATGCTACGCTGAAGCTGGTCATCCTTCTGTCGAAGAACCACTCAAATTATCAATTACATTCTTTTTAGTCTTCTACATTTTTATAAATTGCCATGTCTAGCACAGTCGCCCTTTCGACTTCTGCGTATTCCTTCAGCCTGACTCTGTATCCCCTTTTGTTAACAAATTAACAGGTGGCCCATATTAATATGCTCAGTTTGCTCAGCGAATAGTTATTAGGGGTGGGTCAATAGTTTAATAAGTACAGAATGGTAAGAGCGCCACTGAATTTGTAAAAAAATAAATAATTAAATTACATAAAATATTGAAGTGTGAAAATTCAGAAACACACTTAAAAAAAAATCTGCAAACGTTAATGGATAATTCTGAAGAGGAAATAAATAAGGCATATAACTCAACCAAACCTTGACATAGGTAAAACGAATAAAACACTGAAGCGATTTTCAAATCAAAATAGTATATATTATTTTCAGAGTGAGGTTAAAAATCAAAAATCAAATAATTTTAAAAGATAAAATCAATTGTTGATAAAACACAAAGTAAAATCAATAAATGGAGGTTAACTCTCAATCAAATTCATCAAATTCAAAAAAAATAATAATAATAACATTACAATGTACCTCGCTGGCCATATCATTAGCATGAAATGAAAATATTAAAGATTTAGTTTTCCAGAAAACTAATTTAAAAAAACAATGGATGATTGAAAATTGTATTGATAAATATGGTCAGCTTCTGCTTAAAGAATAAATTCAATAAAATCAACTTGCACCTGTATGAAATCAAAAGTTGGGTTGAATGGTTAGGAGACATAATAGAAACCCTCAAGTATAGGACCCAAGTTAAAAATTGATCAATTTCCGACGAATTTAGGCACTTACTCAATAATTTTAAATTTAGAACATGTTGTTCATCAGATTATTGATTATGAATAATAACATTGACAATCCTAAAACATGGCAGTGTCAAAAGTTAGGTAAAGATAAATCTATAATAAATTCGATAAATCGAAAATCCAGAAAATCAATTATTCCACCATCACCTCGGTGTCAAGAATGCGATGTCAGTGAAAATTTTATCAATTGCGTGATGTAATGAGAGCTCATTACGTAACTCATTTTTATTGAAAAATGGCACTTTTTAAAATTAATTTATCAAAAATTATAAATATATTTTTTTGTGAAAAATTTAAACCATTTTGAAGATATGAAAAAAATCTGGGTCGTACATAAAATGTTGTATATCACACGTACGGTAACGCTCATTACACCACTCGTGTGATTACCACGACTCGGACTACGACCTCGTCTTGGCAATAGTCCCCACTCGTTACTGTAATGAAGCTCATACCGTACTAGTAATATAATTATATTAAAAGGTATTAATGAAACTTTATACAAGCCTCCATTCCAACAAAAGGTGGATAGCGATAGTCATCCTGCCATCATTCTTTGACGAGGGAAGTTTCACATGAAAGTTGCAGATTCTAGCCTTGAATCAAGGTAGATAGAGGCTAGAAGTTCTCAGTTGCCAAATATGAAGGTACAGTCAATATGTGAGAGACTTGATTCCTCTAGGAATCCCTTCAGAAGCTCTATGCCGAGCTCCACGAAAATAGTGTTCTATATAAATGTGGGCTTCTTGGGAATGGATTCGTTGAGAGAAACGGCTCCTCGGAAAAACAGCTCTTCGGGAAAACAGCTCCTCGAAAAACCCTGACTAATAGAGGCATTCCATGAACAACCATTACTTTAAAAAAATTAAAAAGGACTTACCACGAGAGGGTTCGAAATTCAAACTCAAATAAAACGGTAATCACAAGACTTTCGATTTGAACTTTTTCGGTATTCAATGGATTCTTGCCCTACGCAACTCTATTTCGTTAAAACAGTGCCTGATGGCCGATAAGGTATTTTCCTTCACGAGAACGGTATTCAAAGTTGAGGAAGATGGCTGTCCCCCAGGCCAGAGTCAACTTATCAGGGAAACGGCAAAATTTAAAAGGAACGAAGAAACGGACAATCCCTATAGGCTTTCAAAAAATAGCCAAGGGAAAATGTTGGTACTGAACTGGAACTTCAAACTTAATCGAAAATCGTACCCTCTAGTTTAATAACTGCTAATATTATTAGCAGCAGAAATATTTTTTTTTAAGCCAGTCACCAGACTGTCAACATTAAAGGTAACAATCCAACTTAAGAAATTATATTTTTTGAAAGAAAAAGGAACAATTACTCATAGTAGCATTTCACATGCTACTCCCCTTCCTGTTACGAACATTGGAGCTTAAAGCTGGGGTGGGGAGATATTGTTAAGGTCACCAATTAGCATAGTAAGAATTCTCTCGTAGTGAATCTTTTCTGACTTTTTGCAAGTAAAATATGGAGGTGGGGAGTACATTTGATTATGTCAATTTCTATAGGGACAGCAACATGACATATAAATGTTTTTCCATACGGAGTATTTACGACAGTTTTAACTACTTTATCAGCCGGTTTAGGCTGTGATGCTTTTGATCATATGTTTTGATGGTGGAGTTAGTCAAGGAACGTTAGGACCTTCCATTGCGGCTTTCTTCGGCTGAACAGCAGGTTCCCTAGCTGCACTTCTGCAATTGCTGGCGGTCCTGCTCGTGGGTAGAGGTCTTGGCTATTGCGGAAATTCTTGATAACTAGCGGAATGTTCAAGCTCTGATTGCATTGCGGCCTGTATGCAACCTATTTCCCTGCGTACTTCACGCTTGTCTCAGGGAATCTGCATCTAGATTGGGTGCGGCCGTGCGTGACTTCTGCATCAGCAAATCTGAGCCTTGTCCACTCTTCGGGTATGTTCTCGACTGAAATGTCCTCAGGCTCCTTATTCTTGAAACAGGGGAGCAGCATTCCCAGGAAAACCAGTGTTCTGTCTTTCTCAATGATATGATTGATATGCAAATGATAATATAAGTAACAATGACAGAACACTCATTCTCCTGGGAACGCTGCTCCCCTGTTTCAAGAAGGAGGACCCAGGTAGGTGCCTCGCTATAGCGTAAAACTGGTTGTCTTATTTGAATCGATAATTTGATGCGTACAATATGCAGTCTTGTCCCTATCAACGGTTTTAATGAGCGCTCTTTAACCCGTCACAGATGTAGTGTTCTTCGGATCGGAGCATGACAACTTATGGACATAGAAAGAAATGTACAATAAAAATAACATTTTAAAATACTGTATGAAATTAAAATTGAGGACTTTCTCTGAATTTCCCACCTCCTGGCATGATCTCTATACCCAACTCTGTGTGAGAATATAAACTTTGTTCCTAAGGATGGTGCTACCTTACAAGAGGAACTCCAGAAGTGTTACATTGGGTGAGTTGCTATCAGGCCAGGCAACTGGACCACATTTACCAATTTAGCGGACATCATGTGTAAAAAAGCCCTACAGTGATCATGTTTTAATATTCTTATAATACTGGTAGGAAATATTGAGGAGACTATAGTTTCTGGAAAATACATGCGGATCTACTGGAAAAATAAATCTTCATAAATAACCATACCGTATGGCACTACATCAAAAGCTTCATAATGTCGAGTGATATATGTTGATAATCCTGAATTACCATGAATACTTATTCATGGACTTATATCTGTTTGGCGAAATGCTAGATTGACAAAAACAGAGAAAAATTCCTGATATTATAGCATTATTTTCATATGGAAGAAGCATTCACTTTTTTCCTGCTACCATTTTCCTCTAATCTTGATTTCCAAATATAATTAAAGTACTTATTTTGTGTTTCTATTTTTCAGATCAAAGAAGCTTCAACAAGATATCGACAAAAATAGCAGTCAGGTAAGCCTCCAAAATAATATAAATTATATAACATCACACAAGTAAGTATACCTAGTTTGATCAAAAATTCTTCAATGTTCTTGGTGTATTTAGTATAACCCATATAGCCAAATAATATTTTTTGAAGATTCAAAAAATATTTTTTTTCGGATCAAATATATTTTTAGAACATCCAAATATCCATAAAACATATTTTTAGGACATTTTTTGAACATTCTGCGGTAACGAATCGATATTTTTTGAATATCCATACGATATTTTTTAAATGTATGAAAAACATTTTTAGAAAGTATGAAAATGTTTTTTGAACATCATCATCGAAAAAAAAATTATTCTGATTCAGAAACGATGTATTAAAAATGTTTGTATTTGTATGATATTTTTGAGAATGTTTTAAAAACATTTTTAAAATATCCAAATATATTTTTAAAACGTCTTTTGGATATTTTGTGGAACATTTTCAAAAAAAAATATAAATAAAATATTTTCCATACATTGAAGAAACTATATTGGTTTTGAGAACATTAAAACGATATTTAAAAAACATTATTAAAATATTTTAAAAACATCATTCCAACATTTACGATGGTAATTTTTATGGGTAGGTAAGTACCTATTGGGTAATTAAAACTCAGAATTAAACTCTGAATTATTTTTATTTGTGCATATGCATCTGATTCAAGTTATTTGCCTCTCAATTAAGCAGTTCCTGACTGATTATGGCTTATTGTCCTTCGAGCTGCGTCTGCTCTTTCACAGCTCCTTTCTTCTTCCTACAATAAAAAATAATTTGTATGACTATAAATAATCAATATTATTTTTATAGATACAGGGTGTTCCAACGAGGATTAATCAAAGGCTTATTTTTTTCTTCTTTCTTTCTTTTTACTCTCTCTGTATTATTGAGAAAATCCATAATACCTATCTCATGTATTTTTTCCTGCAGAATTCAATTATTGCATCAAAAAATCTTTGAACCAAAAATATAAGACACATCAGGGATGATGGCTATCTTGGATTCTCACAAAAATACAGGCAGATTCAAAAATAGGCTCCTGGTTTTAAGTCCTCGTTGGAAAACCCTGATATAAATACCACTTACCGTGAACCTCAATCGAAATCGCAATTATTCTCAGAGCCAAATAACGTACACTCGTACAAAAACCTCACAAAAAAAAATATATTGACTTCACTCTAGTCTCGTCTAGCTGAACCCGACCCAGACTGAAACTACGTCACGCCGGCGTCCAATCCCCCTCAAAAAGTAGCATAAAAATACCAGTGTTGCCAGAACCGTTTTTATAATTGGAAGCTTTCATGGGTTTCCAAGGGTCGTATTTTCGAATTCATTCGAGTACATTTCGTACACGAAATTTGATTGACAACAATGTGAATTAAATGGGAAGCATTCGAAATCTTATCCAATTTCGCATGTGAGAATATTCGAAAATACTACCCCAGGTATGGCCATTTTTACTTTACCGTTACAATGGTTACTAGGTGACAACACTGCGAATTAATTCAATCGGTAGCAGAGCAAGTAGATATGGCGCCTAGAAAAAGCAAACAAGGACAAGTTTTTAAATCAAATGAAAAGCTTTGATTTGGTTCGAAAAAAGGATGGTTCTAGAACGGTCCAAAACAATCGCACAATTTGTCATTCCAAAAGTTAACTTTTATTTGGTCTGTTAAAATAGTTTTATAATACTTGCCCTAAGTCTCGAGCCAGACTTTAGAGACCGAATGTTTTAAAAATGTTCAGCAAATGTGGGGGAAAAAATATTTCTTTTATTATGTTTTTCTGATGTTCAAAAAATATCCATTTAATAATATTATTTTGGATATGTTTGTAAAACTAATGTATTTTTTGAGTACATTTTAAAAACATTTTTTGAACATTTCCAAACCAATGTGTGGTCACAAATGTTGTTTGAATCTTTTAAAAATATTTTATTAGCTTTGTTCAAAAAATATCCATTGTTGGATCAAAAAAAAATATCCCAAAAATATTTTGTGCTATATGGGAAGGCATCAAATGAAACAGCTTAGCAATCCTAGTTAATGTAGTACTAAATATTCAAACTCCCTTCTGTATAGATATCCACAGGTCAGAAAATTAATCACATATTCAGTTTAAAAATACAAAAACAAACATATGTATTCAATGGATGAATATAATATGATTAAAAAGAATCAGAAATTACCAAATTATTTATTTAGAGCAGCTTTGAGACTTTGGTTACTTCACTGTAAAAGCACTTAAATCCCTCGAAAGAATTCTTAAGAGGATCATCCTTATTCATAGCGCATTTTTCAATAACCCTCTCAGCTTTTTCAGCACTGAAATGTTGCGTCAGACTCACTCCGAATTCGTCGCGTTTGTTTTCATCTGCTTTCGTACGAAACCCTTTTTCTGTGTATTGTTTCAGTAAAAGATCATCTCGAAAATCGTCATTACGGGCCTTTAATACTACGCCTCAGGGATACGCTGGTCTCTTCGACGCAATGCTTTATTATTTCCTGTCTCTCTGTTTTTTCTGGCAGTTTTATTGCCTTTATTGGTTTAAGTACATCATCCTACTAGATTTTTTTACGCGCCAATTTTTTTTTTTTCTACAATAATGCGTGGCTTTTTTATTTCAATAAAGCGTTTTTTATTTAAATAATAAGAATTTAATTCAATGAGAAGAAAATCCATCTAGTTAGATCTAAAAATATGATTTACCTGAAAAACCATGAAACCGATACTAGCGGCGCTTCTGTCTGTAACTTTTATTTAAAATGGTAGCTATAAATCAAAATAATTTGACATTTGGGCTTCTTAATTTTTCATCTGAATTTTCAACAACTCAAATTTTCAATTATGTGGTGGTGAGGTTCGTGATTGCACCTGAAAATGTTTTGAGTTGACATTTCTTAATTCATACCTGTGTCACACTCTAAGATGTCCAGGTGATTTTTTTTTTGCAACCGTATCTTTCTGGATTTCTCCGGCATCATTTGTTATTCCAATTTTCTAGGCAATACGGAAACTGAATGTCTTGCATCTTTTTGAAACTTTGGCTAGCATGTTCTAGAATTATCGCGTCGTTTTTAGTTTCTTCAATGCAGACATGAGCATGTTCGATGATAAGTTTGGCTTGGTCTCTAAGAATGATAACGTCTCGAGGAAAGAGTTCTATATAGACCTAGTAAAAAGAAACAGTAGGTAGGTCTTTTAGAAAAAATTGATGCTGCATTTACTCACTAGAAAATTTTCATGGAGAAGGCATTTTAGCGTGGAGGAGGAAGTATCTCCTGGAGCTTCTTGGCTTTGGGCAAATTGTTCAACTAACTTCTTACCACTTCGAGAACAGCCTCTATCTCTCAATGTCAATGGATCCATTTTTTGCGACCTTTCCTTGCTTGTGAGGATAATTTGCTAGTAAAAATGAAATGTATTATCCTAATATTTATTTGATTCGTCTAAAACGTACCTTTATAATATTTAGATTGGGACCCACATCCCCCATACATTTTGCCATATAAAATGTAGTTTCTTGTGCACCAGATTTTTGAACAGCAAACTGCTCTAAGATTTTGGATAAAAGTGCTTCGTCTTCTTCTAAATTGCTTGGATTATTCCATCATCATTCAAGATAAGCTCAATCCTGTTCAAAAACAAGTAAATGTACGTCTTGAAAGCTGAATCATTTGTAAAAATCTCCTTAGTGCATTTGCCAATAATATCGCCATCGACTTTGGATTCATCCAACGATCCAAGCAATCTCTATGATAGCCCCCCACTTTTTATGATCACGACTGTACAAATAGGAAATTCCTAACCTAATTTTATTTGTGTGTTCAAGAAACGACATACGTTAAGTCACTAGAACGACTGGTACTTCTAAATAGGTATTAAACATTCTATACCTTATATGATTTCTTGTCTTTTTAGTGCAACATTCTAGCACCTTCGCCATTTTCATTAGATAGCACCAAGAAAAGGAGGCTGCTTGCATGTGTTCGAAATAGGAAAGAAACAATTCTTATCTCATGCAAAATTCAAATTTATGTAAACTCATCATAGTAGGGCGCTTTCGGCTTCCGCCATCCTCAGTACTACTTGTCAGGTTCCGACACAGAAGTGTAAATTGTGAAAGGACGACGACTAGGATAAAAAACATTACGACACGCCGAGAATTATAGATCTGTAGGTACACGATAAACGGTCACAAACAATATCAAACTTTTTGAAAAATCCAAAACTAGCGTAAGAAATTATCTCGAGGAGTCCGCCAGAGAGTCAAGATTTCAAATCGAAATTTGGAATTTTACTTCAAATTTGTGTATTACGAGTACATACTAATTTGTATTGTTTCAAAAGATTTTTTCAATTCAATGGTCTTCTGATTCTAGGCGTTCAATGAACTGACTCATCGAGAGAATTTTTTAAGCTCGTTTTAGACGAGTAGTACACTGATGATGGCGAAAGCCGAAAGTTGCTACGCTGAGTTTCAATAAATTTGAATTTTGCATGAAGTAGGTAAAAAATAGTTTCCTTCCTAATTTTCATTAGTGTCTAATATCGGTATTGTTATGGTTTTTTTTGTATGATTCGAATACCTACAATTTATTGTTGCTTATATTGAAGACTGAAACCTCTATTCGAAGGTAAAATTCTTTTTGGTTCAAGACCGCGACTTCGAGAGAGACTAGCGAACCACGATTCCAGAATTGCCTTTGGCAAAATTACCTCTTTGACGCGGTCTGTTCTTTGGATGCCCTCAGTTTGTAAGCGAGTCACATCCTGATGAGCTGGGAGTTGTTCCAATCAGGCATTCACAGGGCAGAATTTGATAGAGGAGCCTCTGAGGTTATTTCTGTGGAATCTGTGAAAATTCATAACTTCAGTTCATTTTATTTATTACTTAGGATATGACTATTTTTCTAGAATTGCAGGGTTTTTAACAAAGATCGCTTTTACATTTTTATAGATAGTTTTATAGTATTTTTAATACCTATTTGGAAGTACCAGTCATTTTAGTGAGCTTTGATTGGTTGGTAATTTTTGTTTCATCTGATTCATGATCGATGAGCAAGGATGGGGTTATTTCAAATGGGTATTAAAAATAGTATATTAATTCTAATCTGTGAGCAACTTTCTGAGAGTTTCCGTTTGTTTGCGCCCATAATAAACGCATTTTTGTACATATAACTGTACATCAGTCGTCTACATACGGTCCGGTGGGCCTGTCAGTTGGAACTGAACAAATAGTTCGAATAGTCTCGAAGTGACGTTTCGAGAGAGACGAGAATCTCTCATCTCGGCGGCATCACTATTTTGAAACAAATGCCATAATAGTATATTATGATATAAGTGTATAAGAGGGCATTTAAAGCACGTGCGACATTTCAAAACACGACGCGCAGCGGAGTGTTTTGTAAGTAGCAAGGGCTTTAAATGCCCTCTTATACACGCATATCATACGCTATTTTTTATTACGAATGCATCATAATCTCAAAAATGTTTTTAAAGTGTAATTTAAATGGCAGGTATGCAGGTAAATATCTAGGTAATGAAGGTAGATCGAACGTTTCTATAGCAAACCTTTGAAAAGGTAGACGCATCATAATAGTATATTGTAGAAGCTTTACTTTTTTGTGCTGAAGCGGTAGGTTTGCGAGCCGAACGTAGTGAGGCTTGCAATACTGCTGAAGCACAAAAAAGTGCTTCTACTCCGTATGCAACACGCTATTTTTTCTCCAAACGAATGGGGTAAGCTTGGGGGCAAGTGGATGGTTGAGCGGCATCACAAGTACGAGCGGCACTAAAAGTAGTTCTACTGCCGCTCCAGCGGCACTAAAAGTACTTTTGCTGCCGCTGGGGTTGCCAAGCAGCATAGAAATTAAATTTCTACCACCTCGACAGGTGTTAACCCGCTGGCTTTGCCTAGCAGCATAGAAATCAAATTTCTGACATCTTGACAGGGGTTAACAAAGTGACGTTTTTCTGACGTTTGGAGAAAAACATCATTTTATGCACGCTGCAGCATGCGATAATCGTTGATTATGATGCATGCGTAATAAAAATAAAAATATATATTCTCAGTTCTGTGGCGTAGGCATAGTAGATTATGCGAATGCTTGTTGAAGTAATTTTATTTCATTTTTTATTTATGATATGGGATCGCTTTCTGGGGTTTTTCGCCACAATCTTCAATTCGCACTTTATTTATTTTGCAAAAGAGGGCGGTTCGATATTTATGCAGGGTAGGTTGTAGGGAAACCTGTCGGGGCTTGTTTAAGGAGGAGGCTATTCTGACTGTGCCCTGTATTTTTATTCTTGAGTCGGTATCTCTTATATATAAAAAGTCTGCAAGTCTTGTTCAGGAAAATAATTATTATCTTCGTAATAATAATACGTTACCACTCCCAATACCAAAATTTGCCTTAACAAAGCAATCGATAATTTATGAGAGTAAAAAAATGTTTAATAAACTACCACAGGATATAAAAAACGTTTCCTGTTATAAAGCATTTCGGTCAAATGTTAAAAAATATCTAGCCACCAAGGCTTTCTACAGTTTAAAAGAGTATTATGACGACTAAATGAGCTTTGTGTTACAGTTATTGTATTTTATCTATTTTATAAGTCTAGACCTATTCATTTTGAAATTGTGTTGTGACTTGACTTTGACTGGTTGTTTTGTTATGTATGTATTTAAGCGTGAGTTTGTACAATTTTGATCATGCACCATAAGTTTACTGTCCTGTAATTTTAATATTAAGTATATTCTTTAGTCTAAGGAAAATTACCCCTTTGAGATGTTACTTGTTTTATTATTGTTTTGTTTATTTTATTATTACTCTTGCTTTGTCAATGAAAATCTACATTTTTAGACAATAAAGCTTGCTTGAAATTGAAAAAAAAAAATTGAAATTTTTTTGGTGTAATTCTTATAGAATATTTTTGCAGTGTAAACCGGCTGACCAGCTCCGCCATATTTTCTGCGTAGGTTCGTTGGACAAACTATATACCAAAGTTGAGGCAAAGCAGGCACACTTCAGGCAATAGTCTTTCAGTAGGAAGTTGGACTTATCTTTGGCCAAAGAAATATTGTGTGAATTATTCGGGTTAGTTTGGGTATAATTGCATTGTATAGGTAATAAGAAGGCATAAAATGGTGTATAAGCGACTCACGACGCGAACGAAAGAGAGAATTGGACAGTAAGCGAACAAATATAGTGCTACAATTTTATGAAAAAGAATTTAGACGCGATTTTTGTGTTATTGTCTCGAATAAATTTATTTAAGTTTGGAAAATTAACTCGCCTCTCACGTAACAATAATTGGTGTCAGAGTTTGAATAAGCGAGTGAATAAATTCTTGTGTATAGTGTAAACGACACAACCAGATACTCGGTTTATTGATACTTGCTGACGAGAAAAGGGTAAAGGAAAAATAGGGAGAAAAAGACAGATGACGGAAAACGAAACAGGAAGGGGAAGAGAGACAGAAAGAAAAACATGACGGTCAGGACTAGCCCCAGAAAATTTTGTATGCCCAAGAAGACAGATGACAAAAATAAAGAAAGTAGAACTGAGACGAGACTACAAAAAGAAAAGCAAGAAGAACAGTAACGGCTTTAGAAAATTGTATATATCTAAGGACAACAAGGACAAACAGAGAAAGATATTGAGGGAATTGCCGGATTGTTCTCGAAAATTCGACAAGGAGTCAAAGGGGAAATAGGAACAGTCGGAGAAAAAGGCAGGCTTGTTCGCGGCCTAATGCCAGGATTGTATGTACACCTAAATTTTTCGCCAGGTTTTGTGTTGATATAGGAACAAATTTTTGAAATTCAATTACGGTACAAGCTAGTGCAAATGTCGCCCAATGCATTGTTAAAGATTTTGATGAAATTGTGGAAAATGATGAAATTACCTACCCATTCTAAAGTACATAATCCGCATTCTACCGTCGTTATCTAAATAATGCACATTCCGCTATTCTTCTATCCCTCTCACAGGCCAGGCACTGTGAGATTTTGAGAGTCTGGCAAGGATTCCTGGTTCTTATAATAATGCCGGAATTGTGTTTTCCATAGGATTATTGTATAAATTTGTTATTTTTGAAATTTCGAAAATGATGCCGGATTAATTCGCAAATTTCGTAAATCCTGCCAGACCTATTTTGTAACCCCTTTCGTAAACAAATTAAAAGCAGGCCCATAATATGAACAGATGGCTCAGCGAATTATTTTTAGGGGTGGCTCAATAGTTTAATAAGTACAGAATGGCAAGGGCGTCACTGGATTTGTAAAAAAATAAATAGGTAATTAAATTACATTATTGAAGTGTGAAAGTTCAGAAACACACCTAAAAAAAATAATCAGCAAACGGTAATAGATAATTCTGAAAAAAAAATAAATAATGCATAAAACTCAACCAAAACTTGAAACAGGTAAAAGCAATAAAACACTCAAGCAATTTTCAAATCAAAATAGTTATATATTTTCACAGTGGGGTCAAAAATCAAGTATTGAATAATTTCAAAAAATAAAATCAATTGCTGGTAAAACACTTTAAATAAAATCAATAAATAGAGGTTAACTCTCAATCAGATTCATCAAATTCCGACAAAAAAAAAAATACAATATACCTAAAGATACGTAGGTACTTGCCATATAATAGCTATTTACCTAACAAGTGCGGAAAATGAATTTTTCCGCACGCGGCTGCCGTTCACCGAACGACGCGTAGCGGAGTTCGGTGATGCAGCCGAGTGCGGAAATAGCTATTTATACAATAAGTTACGAAATGAGCGTCTTTTAGGCACGCGACGTGAAAATTGTCCAACGAGGCAAAGCCGAGTTGGACAACACGTCGAGTGACTAAAAGACATCGTTTCGTAACGTATTGTATACAAGATTTTTTCTACTGGCATTTTATAATAAAAAAACACAATTTTATTTCATGTGAATAAGTCGATTACACCCAAAATCTTTGTTACCTGCTTTTACTTGACACCTGACACTTTTCATGCGATTTTCTTTTCAAAATTCGACATCAATAATTAAAATCCTAGAAAGTAGGTAATAACACAAACTTCTGTTTTGAGTAACCCAAACGTTCAATTCAGTAATTCCATTTTCAATATTCATAATAAATACAAAACAAAATTCAAATATGTGTTTAGTGTGTTTTTTATTTCTGAATAATGAATGACACTTTTAGGCACTAGTGCTTAAAAATTACTTTTACGCACTCATAAGTCACTTTTACGCATTCAAAAGTCACTTTTACGCACTGAGTGCCTAAAAGTAACTTTCACGCACTCAGTGCCTAAAAGAATGTCGTTTCAAAACTGAAATGACAATCGAAAAGTTGCTATTATGAAACGTCAGTAGAAAAAATATTTTCCGCAAGTGTTAGGTACAATATTTTTCCTACAGGCGGAAAAATGTAAAATTTTTCTTTTTTTTTTTTGACATATCAGTGCGGTAAAATTTTTTCCGCACTGACAGCCGTGCGGAAAAACTTTTTCCGCACTGATATGTCAAAAAAAAAAGTTTTACCGCACCGTGCGGGAAAACTCATTTTCCGCACGCATATCAGTGCGGAAAATCGATTTTTCCGCACGGCTGTAGGAAAATTCATTAACAGTCGCTGGCCATATCATTATCATGAAATGAAAATATGAAAAATTTAGGTTTCTAGGAAACTAATTTTAAAAAAATGAATGATTGAAAATTGTATTGATAAATATGGTCAGCTTCTGCTTAAAGGGGGTGTGCGCCAAAAATTAAAGTTTTAGTGTGAAAAAATCTAAGAATAACTGTTCAAACCTCGTTATTCTACCATAAACCATCGCTGAGATATACCGCTTTAAAGTGTGGACGACGCTCTCGTGACGTCACGAAAACTTTGTCCAGCGGCGCTCTGCATTGTTAATTTGATTGTTCCCGGCACGCGTGAGTGGTTTTTGTTTAGATTATTGCAGGAAACACAGGAAAAACATTATGTAAATTTAATTAAATCCACTTTCTCGTGCGTCGCTTGAGCTTTCGTGACGTCATAGGGTGAGATGCGGTACCTTCATAGAGCCATATCTGCGGTATTATTTGTCATAGAGGGGTGCGGATTTCACTGTTATTCTTAGATTTTTTTTCTCTTTTTTTTGAGATGAAGTTGTTTTTTTGGCGCACACCCCCTTTAAAGAATAAATCCAAAAGTTGGGTTAAATGTTCAGGAGATATAATAGAAACCCTCAAATATACAAGTTATAGGTAGGACCCAGGTTAAAAATTGATCAATTTTCGATGATGTAGGTACTTACTCAATAATTCTAAATTTAGAGCATATTGTCCAACCTTGACTTCAGCTCAGATTATTGATTATGAATAATATAAAATTTTCATTTCTGAACATGGCAATAATAAAAGTTAGGTGAAGATAAATCTATAATAGGAAATTCGATAATTCGAAAATCCAGAAAATCAAATATTCCACCATTACCTCGGTGTCAAGAATGCGAAAATAAAATTTTAAACATTTAAATGTAATGTCAGTAAAAATTTTATCAATTATGCTTATGATCATAAAATAGATAATAAAGAAAAAAAAAATATTAAAAGGTATGAATGAAACTTTATACAAGCCTCCATTCCAAAAAAAAAGGTGGATTACGATAGCCATCCAACCATCCATTTTCACTTGACGAGCTACATATGGAAGTTGCATTCTAGCCTTGAATCAAGGTAAATAGAGGCTAGAAGTTCTCAGTTGTCGTCGAATGTGGGGGTACAGCAGTCAATACATGAGGGACTTGATCCCTCTAGGAATCCCTTCAAAAGCTCTATGCCACGCTCCATGAAGATGGTATTTTTTTTTAAATGTGGCCTTTGGAAATAGATTCGTTGAGAGAAACGGTTCTCGGAAAACCCTAAGTAATAGAGGCATTCCATGAACAACCATTACACAAAAAGAAGGACTTACCACGAAGGGCTCAAAATTCAAACTTGAATAAACCGGTAATCACAAGATTTTGGATTTAAATTTTTTCGGTATTCAGCGGATTATTGCCTTACGCAACTTTATTTCGTTAAAATAATGCCTGATGGCTGATAGGTACTTTACTTTCCACCAGCACCGTTGTCTCAGAAAGATAGCGGTTTTCAGCCCAGGATCGACCTTTTCAGGACGAACGACAAAAATTGTAAAGGGGCGAGGAAAGAAACGGACAAGATTAGACAAGATGAACTAATAATTAATTATTAGCAGCAGAAACTTTTTTTTAATGCTAGTCACCAGACTGTCGACATTGAAGGTGATATAAAATTTTATTTGAGAGAAAAAAAAAAGAACAAGTAGCATTTGCAATGTTATAATTTTTAATAATAGTTTATGAGAGTTCCATTTTCTATGCTATCAAGTTTCAACCATGTAAAAATCCGGAAAATGGGACAAATTTTCCGATATGCAAATTTTGATACTTGAGATAAGCCAGAGTGCCTCGTTCGTACGTTTCATGATCTACTTCAGTGAATGTAAAAGATTAATGATGGGGAAAATAAGAAGACCCATTTTTTTCCTTGGAATCCATAGGAAAATGTGTTTTACCTGTACGCAGATTCTATGAGCTCCTTCAAAGTTTCAGAAAAGTCACTTTGCAACCACTATACCTAATCGTTCAATTACAAATAAACAATTTTGTTGTTGCTCAGAAAACGAATTCGCTTGAAAAAAATTAGTTTTTCCTATTCTAGATAATGGTCTAACCTGAGGCCGAAATAGTATATAAATTATTTATAATGGAGCAGTACCAATTTTATGACGTAGGAAATTCAATTTTTGGGAGTACCTATTCTATAATATACAAGTATAACCTAATTAGCGGTTTATTGGAAGTAATAATTAAAATTGACGAAAGTGCCTGACAAACTTCAATTATCAGGTCTCAAATAGCTGCTTATAATTTACCATGTCAATTATGTATAAGCAATGATATTATAACTAGTAAATTGAACCGGTATGCCAATTAATTTCAATATTGTACGCTTATATTTTTCACCTATTAAACACCCATTACATAATTCAAAAAAAAAGCAATAGGTAGGTATGATTCGTCATCGTCTCATCTCACCGACCAGTTAGGTATCTATATTTTCTGAAATCTAAAAAGGATCAACTTTGAATACAATTTGCAAATATTTTATTCAATTTCAAGTATTGTTTGACTACTTTGTTTATCTTCTTTAAGAACTTTCATTCGCAGAAGAGTTTTCATAATTTGGTGTTTATGTTTTTGAAATTTCCTGACAGGGCTGTTGAAATTTTTCGAACCTATTTAATTCAGAAAAATGCTGCCATTTTGTTGAGATTTTTCACTCTTACCATGAGCTTCTTAAGTGATCCAATGATTTCACAAAGCAAAAGTCTTGTGTTTTGTGTAACGTTTGTGTTTCACATTCTTCTGTTTGTGATTTACTTATTATTAAGCTTAGTTAAAAGATTGATTTATCAATATATCAAAACAATTTCTTGGATCTATTTTTAATACGTTCAACTATAAAAACATGAACTTGTCTATCTGACCATTCAAATCTATTTCTTCGCCTGGATGATAAATATGTTGTAATGGACTTAGATTATTTATTTGGCAGACAGAGTTCAAGTTCAAGTTGAAACATTGGTCGTGAATATGTAAATTTGGGAGCGGCAAAGAACGGTGTCTGAAGCCGTTGACTTTCGTTAATTCGGTAATTTTAACTACTATCAGTGATTCTATGTTAAATTTTAATTTTATAGAAACAAAACAATTATCTATCCATTTATCACCTGCCTACTATCCAAGATCATTTATATTTTGGTTTATTTGAAGTTTTTTATACCAAAATGTCTGTATAGAGTTTTTGAAAAAATTGGAAATAACTAAAAATATTGATCTTGGGTTTTGTGTAGTCAAGTTTCTCGGGTACAGGGATGTTCAGAGGCATAAAAAGAACTCCAACGGAGCATCATTTAGCTAGAATCCGATTGTCCCAATTTTTTTGAGTCGACCCATTATTTTTACTATACTTAGTGGACTTTTGCAGCAAAATTATTCATCTATAGGTAGGTACGTTTTTCTAATACAAAACAATAGAAAATTTTTAAATTTTCAATTATAATATTTTAGTTTTCATTTCCTCTATGACGACTAGCCGACTGATGTAAATTAAATTATTATTAAAAAGCCATTAACAAAATCCGTTCTTTCATAGGAACATTTTTTTTTTCAAATTGAACTTATTTATGTAATTATAAGTAACGAAATTTTAATTGTTGATAAGTACAGGTTCGTTACTGGTTTTTTTTCTTATATATTTCACGTCGGCGGATGCGGATTTTATTATTTTTTCGTGTCTCATCCTAACTTGAAACGCATCGAGGCAATGGAAACCGTATTTGTATTGCTTGGTTTACTAGCAGTGGCATCATGTCAGGTAAGAACATTTTGATTACATTTCTATAAAAATTCATCAATGATTTGGTTTTATTTTATTTGTTTTCTACTATTATAGATCCATAATTCCTAGGAAACGAAATAAAACCTATAACAACCTCAGGGCATTACAAGCGGGCGTAATAGATCATGACGCCCGCTTATAGTGCCCTGAGGTAGTTATAGGTATATTAACTCATTTGGTTTCCTAGGTACAGGTAGTAGAGGTACATGTCAAAACAGAATACAATATTCTATGATACAAGTTTAACTGATTTTTTCTGATATTCAATTGATGAAAGAACATTATGTTCAGTAGAAAATAAAGCATTGTATGCACCACAGGCATTTTTAGATTATAATGCTCTTCAGGTGAAATATATTCCTCGGGCTAGTTTCGCCTTTTGGGCATTATAATCCACATAATGCCCTTGGTACATAAATAGGTATTATATTCCTCAACTTCTAATACATTAGCCGAATTCAAAAAGTTTCTGAATGAAATTATTCTTATCAATATTTACCTTTTTTTTTATTAATAATGTATAAGGCAGCTATGTAGTTCATTCTTCCAAAGTCAATCCTGTACACTAAATAACACATATTCGTAGATATAATAATGAAAACTTCATGACCTAAGCACAACTATTTTCTTATGTTTTTATTCTTTTGAATTTTACTGTTTTACATTTTTTACCTATAGATATGTTTTATTGAATTGCATTTTCACAAAAACGCAATTATCGTTTGTAAAATAACTACATAAATTTAAATGCAGTATAATTATTTTATTTATTTTGTATCTGGCATTGTGCGTCCACGCTAATTACAGAAATTACATGGTGAAATTAGTTACTTTATTCAAATTTTCTTTGGAAACAATACAATAAATATAAAAAAGATAAATTGTTTTTAGATGAAACTACCCCCAAAGGATATGCGCATATTGTTAGAAAGCAATACTCAATGTCAAAAACTGAGCGGAGCAACGCAACAAGAAATTATGGCCACAATTCAAGGAAATTTTTCCGATTCTCCAGCACTAAAAGATCATATATTTTGTTTAGGAGAGAAACTTAAGCTTATAAGTTCCGATGGAAAATTTGATAGAGATTTCGCGAAAAGCAAGATGATGGAAGTTATTCCCGACGAAGCAAAAATCGATGAGATATTGGACAAATGCCTGATCCACAAAGATAACGCTAGGGATTCGGCGTATGAATCGATTAAATGTTTTTCAGATAATAGAGACATATTGATGGCATAATATTTCTAAAATCTTCTTATGTATATTTTCAATGAAAAATAATGTTGGCAACTAATTTTCAATTGTATTTTTTTCTTTAACATAAATTTAAACTGTAATTGACTCTTTATTTTTCACAGTTTCCTATGGTAATCTGCACGACATTGCTAAATCACCAACATAAGAAATTTCTAATAACTTTTTAGTATCGAGTATATACCTATATATATATATACTATAGTCTGTCATAAATATTGAGTATTGGATATTTTACATTTTTCAGTTTCCTAACCTTTGAAAATTCGGTGTACGTTGTCTGATATTTGTGGTAATATTTCATATTAGTACAAGAAGTTGCATTACGCGTGGTAATGTTTTCTTTTGCACAAAAATCATCTAAAATTGAAATCTATATGGGACATACTTTTGAATAAAAAATTTATATTAATCGAGCCTCATCCTTAAAATTTCTATAGGGTATTGATATTCTTTATCGAGCTCTTTGAAGGGCTAACTTACTGTTTCATTTCGATTGATTTCGTCTTCCATTATTTTTTCAGCATTCTGGTTCTTCTGTTCTGTTCTGCTAGAAGAATTTGGGCTATTTTGTCAGGTATTGTAGCCTTGCCTGTTTTGATCTATGACGTATCTATAAATTTTTCCAATGATGCTCTAATCAAACCAATCCTGCTTCCTGCAAGATGGCTGTTTCAAGAATCAATCTTTGATCACGGCTGTTCAACATCGTTATTCAGCGCGCGGACAATTCACTTATTTGGTGTCTTCATCTTCAGGCTATTCAGTTCATTCAACCTCCTTTGTGGTTGTTTCCTTCGCTTCCATAGTTTTGGCGGTACTTGTAGAGACCATAGAGGTAGAGACATGATAATGTTACGGTTGTATTTTTCACTGAATGGTATTAGTATACATGAATGAATAACAGCATATGTTACATGGGATTGAGGGATTATTGTCTTCAAATATCCCTAATTATTATTTATCATCTGGTTTTGTGAACAATGAGTATTTGTAACCTCACTTGATGTTTAACTGTTCTAATTTATTCATATGCTCGTATTTGTTGCTACAGGCTATCGGAACACGATTATCAATAAAAATCCTTGAGTTCGGTTGTTGCTACAAGGCTTTGCGCCAAATCCTCTCTCAATTTTCATGTACGGAATGCTAAGTTCGGGAAATTCCAGGGCAGGAGTAGTCCGCTGGAATAGGCTTCTGTACAGATACATTTCATAATAGTGGTTTCACTAATTCTGTTATCTAATGATTGCTTTTTTTGAGGGTAAACAACAGGCTTATTCTGCTAAGTCTTAACGTGGTGATGCAGTGGATGTGACATGTTGCAAAATGCTAGCACTTCAACTGCAATTAAAAATATAAATCAAACAACTATTGCTGATTCATGTACTTCTATGATTACACAACAGTTAGCAAATACTTCTTTAAACTCTAATTTTGATATTTCCAAATGGAGTTCAAAATTTAGTGGAGAATTTGATGCTCTGAGATTGAATGCTTTCTTGGAGAGGGTAAATGAACTTAGAGGGTCGCACAGAGGTAGAAGGGATAGTTTAGTTGGGAGTAGGAAAGATAGTATGGATAGAAGTAGGAATAGAATAGGTAGTGTAGAAGGACAAGGAGGAAGTAATGCTAGAGAAGAGATGAGAGAAAGATATAGAGATACATCAGAGGATAAACATAGAAGCGCTTCAAGAGATAGGGGTTTTTCAGGTGATAGTTATAGAAGTTATTCTAGAGATAGGAGAGATTTTTCAGGAGAGAGGTATACAAGTTACTTATTAAATTGCAAAGATTAAATGATGGTCAGAGTTGTCAGGTCGCTAATGGAGAATTGTTAGAATGTATTGGTTATATGTCAGTTCCCATTTATTGCAAAACAAAGTAAAATTTTTTGATTGTTGTGTCATGCCTCCTTTAAGGCAGACACTTGTTTTGGGTATAGCTTTTTGGATTAAAATGGGTATAATCATAGACTTAAGAAAAGGAGATTGGTATTTTGGAACAAGTGAACAAAATCTTATAATTCTAAATTATATCAAGTCAGCGGATGATTTAACTGTCGAACAGAGAAATAGGAATCGGTGAAAGATATAGACTTGGTAGAACATGAAATTATAGCTAATAGTCCACCATTTAGATCTCGTTATTATCCAGTTAGTCCTTTAATGCAAAAGAAAATAGACGAGGAGTTAACTAAACTTTCAGATATGGACATAATAGAGGAAAGTGATAGTCCTTGGTCACCCCCAGTTTTGATGGTTCCACAGAGCGACAGTTCGTATAGGTTTTGCATAGATTTTAGAAGATTAAATATTGTAACGGAGAAAAATTCTTATCCATTACCTCTAATAAATTCTGTTTTGGACAGATTAGGGAGCTCTCGTTATTTGTCAACTCTTGATATAAGAATGGCGTATTATCAGGTAATGATGTCAAAAGACTCAAGAAAATATACAGCTTTTAGAATACCTGGTAGAGGTCATTTTATGTTTAAGAGATTACCATTTGGACTTGAATGAATGAATGAAATAGTGGGCGGCCATTTGGACTTACAAATGCACCTGTAACTGTTCAAGATTTAATAGATAGAATATTTGGTCCTGAGCTAGAATCTTACCTATGTGTTTAAATTTCTTGATGATATTGTCGTAACAACTCCCGATTTTGAAACCCATATCCGCATTCTGGAAGAATTATTTGCGCGTTAAAGGCTAGTTTGAATTTAAATAAGCATAAATGTAAATTTTGTAGCAGTGAATTGAAATATGTAGGTTATGTAGTCAATAGATCCGGGTTATCAGTTGATCCTGAAAAGGTTAGTGCTATAGTTGATATGGCTACACCACGTACACCTAAACAGATTCGTTCTTTCTTAGGTATGGTATCATATAACCGTCGTTTCGTTCCTAGGTTGTCAAAAATGGTAGCTCCTCTCCCTAAGACAAAAAAGAACGTTAAATTCAAATGGACTCCGGAATATCAGTTTGCTATGTTCTTACGCAAGAATATGATGATAAATGTCATGTAATCTCTTACCTTTCACGTTCGCTTAATAAGCATGAAATAAAGTATTCTATCACAGAAAAGGAATTGCTTTGTGTTATCTGGGCGATAGAGAAGTTGAGATGTTATTTAGAGTTAGCTGATTTCACAGTGGTAACTGAACATAGTAGTTTAGTATGGCTTAATAATCTGAAAAACACACTAGGTCGTTTGGGCAGATGAGCTTTACACCTTCAGCAATCGTTTCAATATTGCACTGCACATGGTACCAGACTGCTTATCAAGGGCACCGTTAGGTCTGGATACTTTGGATACTGTGAGTTCATTAAATCTGGATTTGTATTATACATGTTATTGGTATAAGAAGATGCGTGATAGAGTTAGGGAGAAACCTTTAAAATATCCTCGATGGGGGGTAGATTTGTAGGGCATTTTGTATAAATATGTGAATGATAATTATTTTTGTGAACCCTATGATAAGTAGAAAGTAGTTTTGCCTGCCTAATTCTCAGAGATCTAATATTTTATATGTAGGTCATAATGGTTCTACATCAGCACATCTTGGTGTATATGAAACATATCATAAAATTCTTAGTAATTACTATGTCCGAGTTGGCATGTGAATACTGACAAGTGACAAGGAGTTGGTAAGAACTTTCCGATTTCATTGAGATTCCTGTGGATTACTAAATGCATATTCCTGGCACTCGCTGTACTGGTTCCCCATCAACTCATAAGAACTTAGTATACTTACCTAGTGAGATTTTTGCGGTATCAATAGAACGGATCATTCGACGGTCAGACTGACTGAGAGTATTTGTGAAGACGAGATCGTTCTCTGAGCATTTAGTCAGTAGCTCCGTCAGTAGCAAGAATCTTTCTGAGACACTATTGTCAATGGCTTCATTGACATTGGTATTTGTTCAGAAGGCAGAGTCTCTACCGACTAGGGCGTTGAAGTATTCTAACAGTTCTGAATCTACAGTTGGGGCGTGTAAACTGATTACACAGCTTCTATAAGTATGCACAACCAAAGATGCTTGTGCATACTTATAGAAGCTTTTTGCTTGAGGCGAAAATCCGTGAGTCTTCTCCAGAAGTAAGTGCATCCAGATGACCAATCAGCTGATTCTGACAAACTTTGCCTCATGGATTTGGGGTTCATGTTTGTTGTTTCCTTTTAAGAAGAGCGTATAGCTACCACCAGATTCTTTAAGTTGGCCATCGCTGGCCCGTCACTCATATCCTCTAAATCGATGTGGGGTACAACATCGATGTTGATATCGCCATAATTGCCTTTCTTCGCTATGGTCTATGACTAATGCGGACATCCTAGTGGTTCAATTACTGGTATGGATCAACGATAACTGCAGAACAGGAGCCAAAGCTGTTACGAATCTCTGGGATCAGACGCATAGTGGGGGCCCCTTACATGGGACGCTATCTCACTAACATATTTCTTACCAACAAATCACACATTTTTATTGCGCAAAATATTTTTTGGACAAACTATATCAGATTTGAAATACTGTAACCCTGCAGCCCAACTCCACCAAATGGTGTGAAAAACTAGAATCAAACGTGAATGGACTGTTCACCGGTCAAAGATTGCGAAAATTTCAAATAGAAATTCGTCAAGAAATTTGCATATTTCACTTGGCCGAAACCTCCCACGTTCCAAAGGAAATAGTTAATAAATTAATCGGCGAAAAAAACTTTCCTATCCGCTATATTAATTATTGCTTTTACTAACCAGACCTACCATAGAAAAACACTGAAAACTTCATTTAAAACACTATTCTTAATTTTCCTTAACACGTTGAGATATTAAATCTTGATAATAATTTTGATTATATGCCTTATTAAAACTGCTGCAGTGCAATGTGTGCAATGAAATCGCTGTTTATTTTCCTTTGTATAACGACAATGACAACATGTCAAGTAAGTAAGCAAACAGATGATACTAAGATTGCGTATATAGCTCATTCTCCATTCTGTTAGAAATGCCATAGTTTCAACCATAATAACACTGAATAGCATTTTCCTTTTTGAAAGAAATATCCACCCGTAACAAGAGGTAAACAAACCTGTTCGTTTTGAGGACTATAATATGACAGTTGCTTAAGGAATAAGCGAAATACAGGAGCCACTAAGCTACAATGCTATTACTTGCAATGATAAAGACAATTGGATTTTGGCAATGGATTAGGAAATACAGTCACTACAAGAAAATTGTACTTGGGAGGTTGAAAGTTTACCACCAGGTAAGTGGGTATATAAAGTGAGAAAGAATCCAAATGGGTCCATTGACAAGTACAATGCTCGGCTAGTTATCAAAGGTTAATCACAGAGAAAAGGTGAAGAATACGACCAGAACTACAGTCCTGTAGCCATGGGAGGAACAATTAGGTCACTGCTCAGTATTGCGGCTAGCAAGAAAATGACACTCACTAGGTTCGATGTATGTACTGCATTTCACCATAGAAAACTAAATGAATTAGTCTATATG